AGAGTGAGGCCAGGGGGAAGGGAGGCATGGGGTTTTATTTTCACTTTTAATTTTATTTTCTTTTTCCACAGGGTAGGTCTGTTTCTTTAACAACCTTCTACCGAACAGCAAGAAACATCATGAACATGTGCTTCACGAAGGAGCCTACAGTAGCTGAAGTAGAGGTGAGACCAGCACCAAGGGGTGGTAAAAGTTTTTATTTCAGGGGATTGAGTATGAGGGTTCAGTATAGTTGACGTTCAGGCATTGCCATAAGCAGTTGAAGTCTGTCTAGTGTGGGAGAAAAATAAATGGTTAGATAGACATGGTACTGATTCTTCTCTTTAAAATTGACATTTTTAATAAAGGTGTTGATGAACTGAGGGAGAGAAAGAAGTCTTAATCTCACATGTGCTGCAGCACAGGAGCCAAGAGGATCTAAATTCTGTCTTCCCAATTCACTGTTCCTTTTAAGTATTTATATTCTTATTTTTAAGCAGTGTTTTATGTTGAATCATATTAAGGTCATGAAAGCCCTGTAAATCTGGGGGGTTTATACTTTAATGAGAGATATCTTGTTTAGTGAATTAAAAATGCATTACTGCTTTCTCTTATCACAGCAAGAATATTGGCGGATAGTGGAACAGAAAGATTGCCACGTAGCAGTGCATTGTGGAAAAGTAGATACCAACACCCACGGGAGTGGCTTTCCCGTGGGAAAATCTGAACCATTTTCAAGGTAAGATCACCAAATCCACCCACTTGGTCGACTCGTGCTAGCTGCCCCATTGTGCTGAGTGGAGGTGGGGGCACAAGGCCGGCAGGGCAGCTTGGCTCTGGGGATGTTGGCACCGGGAACGTACACTGACATGTATCTGCCTCTGTGTCACCCCTTGAACAGGCATGGGTGGAACCTCACAGTCCTTCCTAATAATACAGGATCCATCCTGCGACATCTTGGTGCTGTGCCTGGTAAGAAAGTCTCTTTTCTATGTTTCCAGGAGGTGTAAGTGTCCTCTAAATGTAGTGGTGCAGTCACTAAAGTTGCTTTTTCTGGCCCCTCTGTTCACTGGCTGACCGGGTAGACATGCAGTTGTATGTAGCGGGTGGCATTTAAAGGAATGAAGGCAGCAGGTGTGCAGATGAAGAATTAATGAATGGTTGAGACTGTATACCTGGGAGGAACCAGTTGTGCTTGCAGTACCCCTTTCTGTTGTTGCCAGTGGATTGGTGTTCTTGCTTCTGTCAGGATGAGGAAGGAAAGAGCCACGTAACTTCCTTACTTGCAGACCTAGTCTGTAGCACTGGGCAAAGCAGCCCACAAGTTTTCTAAATGAATTCTCATGAGTCCAGCTGTGTATGTGTCCTTGCAATTTACTGGTAGAAGCATCAGCTAAAAGCATAATTCGGTCTCCTGTGCAGGTGTTGAGCCTGAACAAGCGAGTTGGGAAACAGGGTACCTGTTTACAAGCACACGTACACTTGACAACATGAAGCAACCTCCTCTGATCAATGGCGTTAAGCTTGAATTATGGGTATTTGTAAATTCTCTAAAGAAGAAAAATTTTTTACAGGTATTAGAAAACAAATATGTTCAAGGGCACTGTAACTGGCTGGTAGATATTTTGTTAGTGGAAAATGCTGAATTTCTTCAATTATTGTCTGTGAATTATTCACTCCAGTAGGCCGACTTAAAACTTAGGGTCAGCTCACAGGGAGAACAAGATTTTCAACTGAAATGCCCTCTCACACTGTCTTTTAATTAGAAACTGCAGTTGCTCAAAACTCATTTTCAATCTCTTTGTTTTAGGAGTGACAATTCCTTGGCTAAATATTGGCATGGTCTTTTCTACCTCATGCTGGTCTCGAGACCAAAATCACCTTCCATACATTGACTACTTACACACTGGTGCTGATTGCATTTGGTAGGTATTCTTGTGTTTTGTTTTCTTCGTGTTCACTGCAGTGGCTGGCTGTAGGCTGGTGTTAACAGCAGCTTGTGTAGTACCTTTTGCATGAATGAATCTCACCTAGAAGGTCCGGTGTGTGTGATTACAGTTTTAATGGGAAAATGTACTATAAACTGAAGTGATGAAACACCCTTTCCTGGGGAAAAAAGTTTCACTTGATCTTCCATGCTCTTTTCCGAGATATTTAACAATAAACTGTTTCTGCTTGACGTTGGGTTTAGTCTGTGTAAAGTTTTCATGACATGGAAGCCAAATGACAGCTAGTCAAGCTAGGCTTTCCTTAGGCTGACAGAGAGACACTTGTTAAGCTAGCTCCATATTGTTACTTGTAAAGTGGTTGAATTCATGCTCTGACTAAATAGGTACCTCTTCCTTATTTAACACAAAATACCTTGAACTCTGTATCTGCCAAGTTCCTAGTATTTTCTCTCATATGAATTTTTTTCATTATCATATGCTAACCATTTTTAATATGATTACACACATCATTCTTGTGTCTCAGTGTGGGCATTACCAGTTAGCTGCTAGCTCCATTTCATATTTTTAGGCACTTCACGCAATTAGACTTAATGCTCAGCTTATCAGTGGTTTTGAACATGGCGAATCTTTCCTGAATTCAGTGCATAAGTAGTACTACAGGTGATGATGTGTTAGACTGCAGTTGAAGCACAACAGCTGATGGAAGGATTAGAGGAAGCTGGTGCTGCTGGCACGTCACATGCCTTTCTGCCAGGTTCCTGTGATATTGGTGTTAGTGCCCAAGAGGATCATCAGTGAGGACAAAGAATGATAAGCAATCTAACTGTGTTTCTTGATCAAGAAAAGGCAATAAATGGAGAAGAAAAGTTGTTTAAATAGTGCCCCCCTGCGCAGGTGAGAAGCTGGTTCCCTTTTCAGCAGTTCCCCTTCTGAACCCTGAGCTAGGGAAGCCTTTAGCTCATCACATGGTGTGACGGGAGAAGGCCTGCAGGACCCCCTTTGCATCCAGGAGTCCCCATGGTGGCAGTGGCAGTGTCAACTGCACTTCGTTCACCTGCAAAGCATGTACTTAGCCCTTACCTTTAACTCCCTTATTTCTCAGCTGGTGCTGATGTCAGCGGTGCTGATGCAGCTGTCACTGGGAAAGGACATGGCTCAGAAAAAGGACTTGGAATCTTGGAGGAAACCATTAAAGCAGGAGCTCCTCTCTCTAATTATTTTAAGTTGGAGAAATGTATGTGATCATACCAAGGGGTGGGGTAAAGGTAAACACTGGATTATGCTGCAGATCTGGGAGTTACTGTCAGTTTCTGTCATGGGCATTTCATGGCTCTTCCCCCTCTTCTGCGATCAGGAATCAGTAATCTTTTATAATAATATGCTATCAGAACAAATTGCTAAGCAAGCTATGTTGTCCTCAACCTGAGGTGAGTCTGTTTCTCTCTATGACATTCATCTAGTCTTAAATGACAGTAAATTCCAAACAGAAGACATTCAGGAATCCCTTAATTAAGTTCTGAGGCCACTCTTCATACTGTGCTAGTCAAAACATGTGCCTTTTGGGATTGAAAAGACTTAAATGTAGCCAGCCAGAGTTTTAGGAAAGACTACTCCTCCTGTTTTTCCCAGCCGAGAAGAATAAAACCAAAGAAGCCATTTGCTTTTTCTTGATGGGTTTACTTATACACATAAGTACATAGCTTCAGGCGTACTTGTGATGATTGCCTCGATGAAACACGGCTAGTAAGCAGGAATAACTCATGAGAAGAAGCAGTGAAACTCCTTTGACAGAAAAGCTATTCTTCGGCAAGGCTGCCAGGCTGAGGTGTCAAGCTAATATGCATTATTAACTCATTACAACTTTTAATATTGCAGTAAGTACCGAACTTTATTGAGGAAAAGATTAATTTAATAACTCTAGGTCTGGTGTAATATCTGGAGTAGCCCTGACAGCATTGCTTTCAGTGGCTGCTTCGGTGATAAGAAAGCAGGTGACTGGGCACCAAAGCTCTTCTGTATCTTGCCAAGTCCACCCAGCATCCAGAATTCTTCTCTTGCAAGGACAAATCCCTGTGGTGCTAAAATCAGTGGTGCTTCATTTACCTGTAGATTGCTCAGGTCACTGTCTAATCTCTCAGATTTATCTCCTGAGGGGGAAACACGGGAAAACTTGGTTTGCATGCAGGGCAGAGGTCTGTGACCTAACCTTTTTATTCAGGAAGGATCCTCAGTGCCCATTAAAAGAAGAAAATCTTGTTCTGCCCAAGACACTCAGAAGTCTGTGGTGGCTGCTCACTTCCCATTTTTATATGCACATGAAGAAATGCAAGTGAGTGAAATAGCAGAGTACATCTCAGTCCTGCCAGTAGTCAGACAGTCCCATGCACTTCTGTGCTGCCCCCTCCCCTTCACAGCTCCTTCCCCTGCTTTTTCCTGGGCCTGTCTTCTGAGGGACTGCATGCTTTTGAATCTTTCAGCTGTTCCAGCTATATTTTT